CGATCCAAGCTGCCGCTCCTGCACAAGTAATCTCAGAACCAGCCAAAACAGAAGCCAAACCCATATCTCATTCAAGACCTCTCTCTCCATATGCATCAGTAATGTTTCTACTCTCTCTCTCTTACCTCTTTTACATAAAGAGGCTCAAAGGAAGAAACTTTGAAACGGTTTAAACTAGTTCTTAAATGGGTTTTTGTAATCTGATGTTCTTTCTTCACTCTTTTGCAGTACCCTGATTTGAAGCCTCCAACTTCTCCGACACCATCACAGCCCTGAAAAAACCTTAAATTAAGCATCCTCCTTTTTTACTTACTCTGGTTTTTTCCTCCTGCAAAACAGAAGAACAAAATTGGTCGAAATCATGTAACTTCCTTCTTCTTTTTCTGTTTTCGATATTTTACCGAACATAGATGCTACATTCTGTCGAATCTGAGATAAAGTGTACGCTGTTTTTTTTTTTCTCCCTTGATACCGCCATGGATGCTCTGCAGTGTTCTTAAGAGTTTTTTTTTTTTTTTTAAATCAACTTTTTACTTATTTTATTTAATCAAAGAATCAAAACCAAAGATAAATACAATGTTTTGATACACAAAACCAAAGCCTTTTTCACATAAACTTCTTGTCATGAGCTACTTTCAGTCTCCCTTGAGCTTAGGTAGATAGGTTTTCCACCATCAAATAAAAGAGCAGATTTGATTTTCCGACAAACCGAATCAGGATCGACACCTTCAGGGACTGGACAACCCTCCACGTCCCAGAAGAAGCCTGTGTTACCGATGGTGGATTTTCTCGGCATGGTTTCGTCGGAGATAATTAGGGTTCGCTTTCTTCTTCCGCAGTGTTCTTCTTAAGGAGTTTAACTAATCGTTGAGCAAAAAGTCAAATAAATTAGACTTTTCTCCTACTTATCAATAGATAGTTGGGCCTGTCTATATTAGACCCGGCCCAGATTTTACGATAAGAATCGAGACCCTCTTTCCTAAACGAAAGGTCCGTAAAAATGTGAATAGTTGGCGTATATTCATCATGGTTGAGTTTTAACTAGTTAGTTTAAATCGATTTTTATCTTTTTGGCATTTGTTAAAAAAATACAAACCAAAAAATATATCTAGCTATTTATCAATCGGATTAACTAGAAGTTTAACGAATAACTAGCTAGATGTTCTAATCGATCAATTTAATGTGTTAAAAAACAAAAAAAAATGTGTA